ATTTCCCTCTCCCCATCCTGCCTTTGCAAAAGGATTAGATACAGCAGAAAGAAATGGCACTAAATACTTCAAAAACAATTAAAATACAGTTAGAGCAGAGATCGGTTTATGAATTTTTTGGGTAAAAATGTTTTATGATGTGCAGCCGATTGTGCCAATGGCTCTGTGCACATGGCATTCAGCAGCCCTCATAAGTCTTTCCCCCAAAAAATGCTCTCTCCCTTCTCTGCCAGATGTACTGACCTAAAATGCAATTAGGATGAATTACATCTAGTAATTTCTTTGCCAAAGAACCTTATTTGCTTCCATTCCAAAGCTCCAACCACAATTTCACTGACAAAAGTATTTGTAGCACAACAGCTGTGTATTGACCTATGTCTACAAAGGCTTTTAAATTATTCCGGGAACTTTTCAGGAGATTAAAGTTGCTGATTCAATAGCTTATAAGGAGATAGTTCTATTTATTTTAAAGTACTTTTAAATACTTTCAAGGAAAGTGTTTTGAAATTTTAAATTCTAAAAATATTTTAATACATTGTAATATGTTAGTTTTTGAAACATTATCTGAAAAATAACCCTTTACCTACCCGTAGTATAGATTTCATTAAACCATTTCCAAGAAAAAAACCTGATTTCTAAAATTATGACAGAGCTGTATGGAGAACTAAATGAGGCTCTCAATAATAGAAAGCAAACATCCTATCGGTGTACTTGGGTACAAAATAAGAACCTGAGATTTGATTTACACCCAAAAACAACCATCCTGGTTTCAAGGCCAGCACTAAATTTTACAAATAAAAATTAACAAACATTAAAATTGCATTAAAGAAAAGAAATCAACCAACACTGTTGTATATTTATAGGTAAAGTAAAAAAGAACATGTACGCAACTATATAATTGTAAAGTGGTTTATCATGCTGTTTATCATGATGGGGAAGATTTGAAATGTGATTTGAAAGCATTTTATTCTTGAAGTCTTTATTTACGGTTCCACCACAAAACCGCGCTCGACTAAACCGCGTCCGACTAAACCACTTTACAA